ATTTCCTACACTCCCCACCTCTGTGACACCTTCCTCCCTCCTTGCTCACAGCAGCTGCTGTCTCCCTGTGCTCTTTTGAGACTGCACGGTCTATTTCTGAGAATGTTTGGCGGGGTTCAAGAATCCTGCAAGCTGCACATGTTCCTCCCACAGTGATACAGCCCTGAACACTAACCTCCCTGCTTGGAGTGACCCAGCTGCCCTCATGTGCTATCTGCCTGGGGAACAGCACAGCAGCTTCAGAGGAAGGTGCTGGAGAGCTCAGGGCACTAAGTGGCTACTGTCTGTGCCATGAGTGCCCTGCTCACAGCTCAGGCTCCAGCCCTCTGTGACCCCATTAGCTATTGCAGCCTTAGTCTGAAATCCAGAGCAGGAGGACAGGGTGGTCCCATCAAGGTGAGGGGACATGATCACATGATGATTCATAATGTAAGTGAATAAAAAATCATCCTAATCTTTCCTCCCTCCTTATATTTGTCAATTCCAATTAATCTGTGTAAATGACAGAAATGAAATGTTGACTATATCTTGAGCTTTATCAATATATTTTTAATCTAGATAGGATATTGACTAAGAATCAGACAATGGTACTTTTCCACTTTCCCAACTTCCTACCTTTCATGTTTACTATTAGTCTGCCCACTATAAATATAAGAGAGATAGGATTCTACACATGCCATCCTGGATAGGAACTGTCTGAGGACACTTAGGAATAATCTTGGTTGCTGAGAATTCAAATAGACTTTTATAAATTCATAGCAGATTCAAGACTCTCACGCTAAAATTCTTTTATTTGTGCAGTTACCTATTTCTGATACAAAAGAGAAGTTTTTGACATTCCAAACATTATATATTAAAATTAAAACCTTAGGGCCAGCTCAATGACCTGATGGTTAAGGGGGCAGTATTCCACATGACCGACCACAGTCTGAATTCTGGATCCTGAAGCTTGAAAAACAATTGATGAGGGTGCATGTGTCTCCCCAAATCCCTGTGGGATGTTGAAAGGAGGATAATGGATGGCAGTCTGACAGGTTCCCATTGGAGGGGATGCATTCTCCATCTACCTCTTCCTCTCTCTGTCTCTTTTGGGTCCTATGGTGGTAAAACAAATTTAAAATATAAAGAGCATAAATAAGGTGACCCAGAGCCCAGATTTACTGCATGTCCCACTGGAAGAATACAGTATGGTAATTTTTGACTCCAGGAATCAAACAATAAAGGAATACAATGGATGTGAGCTTTAAAACAATTCTACATTTTGACTTACATTTGGTGGAAGTGGGATAGTAGTGAATGTTGTAGATTAATGATAAACCTAAAATGAAACCCAGCTGTATTTCCTGTGAATAATCACAAAATTAAGAGAACATTGTCTGGCTTTCAAGAATTAGCCCTGTGCCACTGCCAAGTTTCATAGGAAATTATGAATGGAGGCTTAGGTCTGAAATCATCAAAGCTTATGTGAAGTAGCTGTGCAAAAAGAATGGAGATCACATCACCCAGTCCCATTCAACCCAGCACAGCTAAGAGTTTCTAAGACTTACTCCGCCCTGAGATGTGAGATGTAATTCAGGAGAGACGATGACTTCAAGATTGTGGGGTGCAGAATGTGATGACAAGCTAAAGGAAAGGTCCACCTAGATCTACACAAACAAGGGAGCAGTGGAGATGGAGACCCATGTCCATGACTTAGGCATAAATCAAAGATCCTCTGAGCAGCTTGAGGGGAGGTCACACCCTGAATAGCTGGGATATTTCTGCATTTCTAGCCCAGCACCCCCAGCCTGCCTGCTAGCTCTGATCTCAGAGAGTGTCCAGTGAAAAGCACTGACTCTTTGTAACTGCTGAGACTCAACTGGATTCTCCTTCCCTTGGTGGGTTCCACTGTCAGCACCAATAAGAGCCTGTGCCTGCAGATGAACTTACTATTAAAAGTAGTTAGATTATTTAAGAAATTGTGTGATCAATAAGATGTGGGGGGAAAAGGAATGGAAGACAACTGTAGACACCAGAGATAGTGTGAGAAGATGGTGGGAAAGGGCAGAGGGTCAGAAATAGTGATAAAATATATTTATAAAACTAGAAATGGAAAATTATTGATAATAACATGCATGATTAAACCACTATGCAGTATATTCTGGATGGGAAATCACATTTTCTATGCTGTGACGATGCTTAGGAAATGAATGTTAAATTAATTCATTTTAAAAATTGTTTTAGAGTTCCGGACACCAGGCAGACTGAGGCTGCAGGCCCGACCCTTCCCAATCTCCATGCATCCCAACCATTCCTCCTCCTTGGACCCCAGGTTAGTCGTCTGGGACTTTAAGGCGAACCCCCACCCCTCCCCACCCGCAATCCAGATCGAGCCGGCCAGCAGTTCCGGACACCAGGCAGACTGAGGCTGCAGGCCTGACCCTTCCGAAACTCCACACATCCCCACCGTTCCTCCTCCTTGGACCCCAGATGACATGATGGTATACTTAGAAGACCCAAAGGTATCCATGAAAAAACTTCTTGAAGTAATAAGTGAATACAGTAAGGTGGCAGGATACAAAATCAATATCCAAAAATCTATA